CTTGAACTTAGCATTCCATTCTCTCTCTACACTTGATACCTGCCTGGTTCCACACCTGTCCTCATGTTAAAGGACGTATGTGTGTTGAAACTGTGAAGTGTGAATGTTTGCTGACAGTTTTATGGAGACACAAATCAGAATTACTGCACTTTTGGTGTAGAGGGAAAATTTAAGCACCTGATGATGTTAGTTTCATAGAATTTCCTTCAGTTTCAGTCCATAATGAGAACTTTAAGGCCTTACTACTCGAAGTGTTGTCCATAGACCAGCAATCTTGGTGTCAACTGGGAGCTTCTTAGACATGCAGAATCTCGTCCACCTCCCTCCACCCCACACACACACCCCTACTAAATTTAAACAGAGCTGCATTTAAACAAGATCCAGGTGATTCCCATGTTCTTTAAAATTTGTGAAGCACTTCATTAAGACAATTAAAAAGCTGAGAATTAACTACTTTGGATTACAAATCGCTGTTCTTTAACATGTGCTCTCATGCCTTTAGTAACCCCTCTTGAATTTATATCTGGAGCTTACAGTTCTTCCAGCAGCTAGTGAAAATTCCTATAGAAGCTCTTGAAGCCCTTGCCCCATTTCTGTCGAAGAAGTGACATTAACATCTAAAAGATAACAGCACAGCTGCAGTCACATGGTACAGTTGCCTGAGCAAGTCAATCTTCTGATAGAACTCAAACTGGGTTTCTAATCAACTATAAAGAACTTGATTACTGTTCTCAGATTAGGTTCTGCTTTATGCTGAATAATTTGTAAATGGGAGTAAAAAAAAAGAGAGAGAAGCTGGCTTGGTCTTTTAACTGGGTTCTTCTGCAGTAGATTCTGTTCTGAGTCTGTGGTTTATCATGAACATTTGAAATGTCAGAATATTAAATCAGTTATTTTCTTCTCCAGGATTTTGATGGACGACCATGTATCGTTTGCCCCTGGCATAAATACAAAATTACTTTGGCGACAGGAGAAGGACTATACCAGTCTATAAATCCTAAAGATCCATCAGCAAAACCCAAATGGTCTTCCAAAGGAATAAAGCAAAGGATTCATAGAGTGACAGTGGACAATGGGAATATTTATGTGACTCTTTCTAATGAACCTTTTAAGTGTGATTCTGATTTTTATGCCACTGGAGATTTCAAAGTAATTAAGAGTCCTTTCTGATAAAGAAATATATAGCAATGAAAATGTGTATGTTTGGAAATATTTTTAGAATAACTTTGCTTCAGTACCGAAGATGAATTTTTGCCAACATAGACATAACTATTACTTTAAAAATCATATAAAGCTGAGAGGTTTAAGAGCATATATACTTAGTATGGTATAAGGATTATCATCAGGTTCAATAGAATACATTTCATCCAATCCTCTGGATTGATTAGAATCTGAAAGTTATAGGTTTGGGATGTTCAGTTTACAAAGGGTGAAAATAATTTGGAGTAAA